TGATAACGTTCGGGGTTCAGACACACTCTCTCTGTTTAAATCTAGATTAAAGACACATCTCTTTGGCCAAGCATTAAAATAATTCATCTCATAATCTTGTACTGCAGTTATATCTGATCGTATGCACATTTTTATTCTTTAGTTTGGGTTAAACAAATCAATTTTGCTTGGTTGGAACAACAGCTACGCTAATTATGTCTCTATTTGTTTCCGTGGTAACTAGGATTTACACAAGCTTCAGTCTGGATCCAGAACACCTGAGAAGAGATGATGCCAACCCCTCAGAGGAATTTGCTGTAAAGTTGCTTTGCAATGATTTGTATCGTGAAAAGCTCAGTACAAATAAACTTGACTTGACATACAATTTTGTGCAGATTACACTTTTATTTGTCAGCCTATCTCTCTTTCTTTCAGTAGTGGAAATTTAAATGTGAGATTCTGGAAACGAGGGGCCCTATCATACACCCGGCGCAATGAGGCGCAAGTGTTTTTGCTAGTTTCAGCCCGACGCAGTTCTCATTTACCCGTCCAGCGCCGCGTTAACTCAAACCTGGTCTAAAGTCTGGCACAATATTATTTCTTTGTTATTTAAAGAGCACGTTAGTAATATGCGCCTATATGCGGGTGCACAACGCGCGTACACTTATTACACACACGGGGACACGCAGCAGCACACAAACATTTTTAAATATGAAAAATTACATTCCGCCATGTAAATAGCGAACCCACCATGGCGCTAGCGCAACTGGCTTTTAAAGGGGATGGGAGATGAGACTTTGATTGGTTTGAGATCTAAATTTAGCGGGAACGGTTGGGTCGGGAAGAAAATAATTCTAAGCGGACAGCGGGTGAACAAAGAGTGACTATATAGCGGGAGCAGGTGGGTGCAGAATAGAACCTTGCAGGAGCTGGACTGAAAAAACATTCCCGCGCAGACCTCTATTCTGAAACTTACAGGATGTTTTTATAATACAATGACCTCTTATATGTCAAAAGATCAAGGAAATTTTGATTTCTCAGTTCATGACCCCTTTAAGTGCTGCCCATTTTGAATATCTCTCTTTTTTGACAGATCCAGTTCAGGCCATGGAGTACTCTACTACTCAGTTAATTCAGGTGTGTTAAATAAAGAAGACATTTAAAATGTGCAGAGCTTGGGATATTCGGTTTGAAAATCCTGGCTGTACAACTAATGAAGAAACATTGGCATGGCTGAAAAAGGCAATTTGATGATACATTTTAATTCTCTGACATCTTAAAGATGCTAAGAATCATTTTAGCTATAATACATGTCAAGACTTTTCCAGCACGGACATCTTTTCCAACCAACAAGTTCATCCAAGTTCATCCATAGTTCTTTGAAAGACCTACAGAGCATAACATCATCAGGTCAGTTGAGGTCATAGTAATATACTCATTTTAAATGTCCAACAGCAAAAGCTATAGAAATTCATATTCTAACAGGATAACAGGAATCAATTTAACAGTGAATAACAATGTATGACCTGTGTCCCCATTCACATTCTAGCATCTTCAGCCCGGCTTGCATTACATAATTAAACCTGCCTGAATAATGAAACACCCTCCATGATTTAACACCCTGGTTATGTGACTCACACAAGTAATTGCCAGGATCAGTGGATTCTCCTTTGTCTTAAGTGCAGTTTTAAACTGAATTTAGAGGTGAAAGGTCACAGAATAAATGACATGTTACAACTGATCTCAAGAACCCCAAAGCACAGAGACTAAAACTAAAACAGAATTACCAAGAGAACTGGCACTTTTACTGAATCTGAGATAAATGTAACAACCTTACAAGTCTTTGAACTTCATCTTCTCATCTTTTGACGTCTCATCTGATTGTGTTGAGAATATTAACTCCGGTATTACTTTTACAAGCAGAAATTTTACAATCACAATGGTTAATGGTTAATATTCAACAGTGGGCTTTTAACAACGATTAATTCTATAATGCAGTTGGCATCAAACAGAACTGAAAAAAAAAATGCAACAATTCTTCAACAAATGTTATCACTATGCTCTCTTAATTAAAAGAGCCTCTCCAAATCTGTATTTAAGGCAGACTCAGTAAGATGACATCATAACCCACAGCATCATACCTCTAACCCGGGGGTGTCAAACTCAGTTCCTGGAGGGCCACAGCCCTGCAGAGTTTAGCTTCAACCCTAATTAAACACACATGATCCAGCTAATCAAGTCCTTCAGGCATATTTGAAAACTACATGGTATGTGTGTTGGAGCAGGGTTGGAACTAAACTCTGCCGCGCTCCGACCCTCCAGAAACTGAGTTTGACACTCCTGCTCTAACCTCACCATCAACATGTTTTGCTCTGCCAAAGCTGACTCTCTTATTTAAAGGGTTAGTTCACCCTAAAAATGAAAATTCAGTCATTGTTCCATGTTGTTCCAAACCTGTAAGCGACCCTCATGTCATTCCGAAGATGCAGGAAGGTCTTACGGGTTTGGAAACGACATGAGGGTGAGCAATTGATGACAGAATTTTCATTTTTGGGTGAACTATCCTTTAAGAGGGAGAATCGAGAAGAACCAATAAAGAGTAACCAAAGTCATCTAGGACATGGGTCTCCAACCCTGCTCCTGGAGAGCTACCTTCCTGCAGAGTTCAGCTACAACCCCAATCAAACACACCTGAACCAGCTAATCAAGGTGTTCAGGGTTACTGAAAAATGACAGGCAGTTGTGTTGAAGCAGGGTTGGAACTGAAGTCTGCAGGAAGGTAGCGCTCCAGGATCAGGGTTGGAGACCCCTGATCTAGGATGTCAAACCACAAGATTCATCTGGCTCGTGTTTATAATGTGCACAAAGGCTGCATCCAAAATAGCATACTTCCCTACTATATAGTAGATGAATAACATTATTAGAAAATAGTAGTATGTGCGAATTCACAAAACAGTGGACGCAAATTCCCCAGATGACTTAATGCTTCTGGCGAGATTCTAAAGTGCGTATATGATGGACACTTTCCTATCCCGTGAGGCCACAGGAGGTGATGCTGGTGGTAGGTCACATGACAATGACAACATGCCGAGTGGATTATATTCATACTACACAAATTCATACTATATAGAACATACTTTTTAACAGTCGCAAAGTAATTACTTTTTCGAAAAAGGAGTATACAATTTCGGATGGAGTAAGTAATGATTATGTTTATGTTTCACTGGCTCTAAATAATCAATACAACAGCACTGAAGTCTCTGCTGTCCCCACCAGCTCTGGAGCAACATGGTGGTTACCATGAAGGCACAGCTCTTTCTAGGAAACTGATATGACTGGAGTCACATCGGAGATTCCAAAAACGTTTAATGTAACTTTTCTCCCTAAAACACTGCAACTTTTATCAATCAGCAATTCAATAATTTAATTCACAGTCAGCAGTTTACCTTTCTCGCTGATGGACTCGCTCTCCAGCTCCACATCCTCACAGCTGGTGTACTCTGGCGTGGTGGCCAACTCCTCCTCTGAGCTGCTGAAGCTGCCCATGGTTCTGAGCTTGCCAAGGCGTTTGCTGCGGTGTGGTCGAGGTGGAGGAGGCCGAACCGACTCGGATTGGTCTGAGCTTAAAGAGTCGTTTCGTAGTATGCTATCCATTTTGTCCTGTTTGTTCCTGCGCATAGCTGAGCTAGGGTCCAAGTGGTGCTGTTGGGGTATGGGTTTCCTCGTTGGCTCTGCCAGTCCTCGGCGGCTATCACCCAGCACAGGGCTGCGGTGTGGTGTTGGTGGGCTATGATTCGACATCCGATGTCCCGATGAGCTCCTGTCCATGGAGTACGAGCGTTGACTTGGGCCTCCCAACAGAGGGAGGCGTGACTGCCGCCCACCGGGGCCATGCAGAGGCTCGTCCAGTTCTGTATAGGCAAGCGAGACGTCGCTATGGCGCCGCTCGTGCCGAGCCCGTGACACCTGGGCATGGATGCGCATCTGCTCCTCATAGGGCTGGGGTTTGACTGGGTAGCGCGCCAGGTTGGGGTCGCTGCGGTATCGGGCCTGGTATTCCTCCTCACGGCGTCTTTGGAGTTCATAGTCTTCTAGCTGGCCATCCAAACGCTGGCCTTGAGAGTGCCAGCGTCCTCGACTGTCTTGATAACCGCCCACCTCATTGTACATTCTTGAACTCCTCGGCGAACAGCCAGGGTCACGTCCGTAGTCGGACGGAGAGCGGGGCATGCCACCTTCAGCCGGGGCATACTGCAGTCCTCCTTCCCCCTCCCTTTGGTTATATGCCGCGTTGGGGTCCCTGGATGCTGATGGGCTTCTGTTTCTAAGAATGTAAGAGGAAATGAGGTCAATGTGAGTGGTCAATGCAGTGAGGCCACAAATCACAAATGAGCTCCATTTCTCTTCAATTGATTCATACTAGGGTTGTACAAAGCTACATACATTCAAAATTACCTAGAGGTGAGTTGTTTGAACACATATTATGCCTAAAAAAATCATATTAAAAAGTTTGGAGATATAGCCTTGTGGTCAGTGCTATGACATATAGCACAACAACGCTTTCGGTGGCCTGAGTTCAAGTCCCGTCTTGAGGTCCTTTCCCAGTCATGTTCCCCATTCCCATCACTTCCTGTCACTGATATAACTGACATATCATAATAAAATCATAAATGCCAAACATATAACTTTTTATAAGCATTTTTTTTTATAAATATATTAATTAAATGTTTAACATGAACACATTTACCATATTTATGTAATTATTTCTTGATTTGCTTTCTGAATACTGGTCAAAAATCATAAGATTAATCATGATTATTTTATCTTATGGGCAGCCTCAGTTTTTAACAGTAAAAAATAAATATAGTTTTGTGCATATAGCTGTGTGGGGGGGCTCCAGTTTATACTTCTAACATTATATTTAAATTAAAATTAAAAGTAACAAAGTAATTTTTTCTTTAATACATTTTTACTTTAATACAGTTACAGTTTAGAAGCAGAAGCACACATTTTTTCCTCACACTGAATAAATGAGTCTTTAAACATAAAAATAAAGCTGCCTTTATATTCTATTTATATTCCCTTTCGCAAGAGGATTATCATATTTGGGGTTCTTGACATTAAAAAAAGCCCTGAACGAGCATGCCATCCTGATCCATGCCTAATTTATGCCTCCCACTGTCTTTCTAGTCCCTCAGGCTGACACAGACTAAACTGTTCTGAGGCCACCAGTCACCAAAAAGTTCACTGCCCACAAGTCCATCCCCACTTGGATTCAGGACTCTCTTGTTTAAGCAGGCATACGTCAACAAGCATCACTGTTGTTCATGCCCTGGAGCTCTTTCATCGTGAGGAGCCCACAGGGGCTGTGAAGCTCTGTGAGAGTGGCCAGTTGGATCGGGTTTGGTGGTCTAGGACCTGTCTACCATAGCAGACCTTTGAGCCATGGCTTTCATAGTGGTTAACCTGTAAGGGCAGAGTGTTCCATAACAAAACCATGACTTTAAAGTCAGTGTAAAGGCAATTCAGAGAATTGTTTCTAAGCACATTTTAAATGTTAGAAATGTATTACTGAAACATGTTACAAAGACTGTGAACTATGTAGTACTGAATTGTGGAGTTCGACCATTAAATAGTTTTTCCCAGGATGTTTTGGGCGGGTCTGAAATCAAGTCTCGATGACGCACTGGAGCCACCGAGCATGGCCCCTCCCCTAACACTACAAGAGGTGTGTTCGACTTGAAGCAGCGATCGGTATTTAACATCAAAGTACAGTGAGAGCTATAGAGAGCAGACAGATGCTTTTGCTTTCGAATCGCTGTCGTGGTACTTTGATGTCATATGCTGATCGGTCTGCGCAGCGCTGCTTCAAGTCCAACACACCTAATAACTAGAGTGCATCAGCATCAGTGGTTCACCCGCTCAATCACGAGTTACTGATTACCGTTAGTTACTACAGCCTACAGTTTGCTAGCTTTGCCTTCGTCACGTAAATGCATAATACCTGGTTGCAATGATTTACAAAACAGCTCGGTCTCTTTATTTAAATTAAGCTGCTAGAGGGAGCATTCATTCAGGTTGTAGCGGTATTTGACAGTTGAGAGAGGCAGCAGCTTTCCTGCGAGTGGGCGTGGTTTCAGTGCAGACAGAGGCCATGCCCCCAGCGTTTGAGAGCAGAGAATACTGCTTATTCTTTTCAAGATTTTGATACCTTATTTCCTTAGCATTTTTTTTTTTATCATTCAAATTTGGCTGGTTGCTTAATAACACATTTTTCTGTGGTGTGACAAACTCAGAATACATATTTAATTTTGCTTTACATGGACTTTAAGTATTAAAGTTGAGTGTAAATGATCTCTCATTGTTTGTTTTATAGACATGAATGATACTGCAAATCATTTGGCTTAAATTAAATATAAAAGAAAAAACTTTTTTTCTATTTCAGCCAGTTGCCAAAGCAACATCTCTTATTTAAATTTAGCTTAAACTTCATGTACTAAAGTAACTAAAACTAAAATAAAAAAATATATAAAAAAATTACATTTAAAAAAATAATTTAATTTAATTCAAAATAAATTTAAAATTTTAACTAAAATTGAAATTAAAAATGACAAAAAAAAAAAGAGACTCATCTCTCATTTCAATTTAGTTTAACTTGATGTATTAAAAAACTTAAACTAAAACTGAAATAAAATTTTTTTTTTAATTTTAACTAAAATTAAAATGAAAAATTACAACAACAACATTTTTTTAATAAAACCATAATAGTATCTCAATAATACTAAAAACATTGTTCTATTGTTACTTTCTAAGAGATTGGACCAGACTGGTGGATGAAAATATCCCATAGACTTACAAATCTAAAAACCAATCTGCAACTCACTATGAAGCACTGAGAACCACATAGAAACACCATAACAACCACCTATAATACCGTAGCATTACAGTGCTGGATTTTGCATGGGCGAACATCTTATTTTTATTGACACGGGCAATACATCATTAAATGATTGTGCAGAGTCAGCAGCAGCACTACCGTATTGAGCTGCACCATATTCCAGCAGTAAATGATTGCTGAATATCTAAATGTAAATGTGACATCATACATTCTGTCATCATATGCAATGCTGCAATGTTAAACAATGAAGTGATATTATTCCTTGATTTGTGCCTGTCATCTCTGTGCAAAGCACTATGAGTTTCTCAAACAGAGCAGCCCGACACACAGACAAAGCATAGCAGGAGAAACAAAACTCCAAGACAAAATCAATACAACATGTTTGCCTTAAAATAAAGGCCATTTTGCTCACAGCTGAGACTAGACTTTGCACATAATGGTATTTTCCGTTTGCCATACGTCAGCTCACCCCACAAAATAACAAAATATTGCAATACACTACTGCAATGGACATGAAAGTAAAGATCCCAAACAATCATTTCTCATTTCCACTGAAATGGTGCTGGTGTTGAAGAAACAGGTACATATACTACAATGTCACTACATATTTTAGCATCCAAAGTGATTTGATTCAACATATTTCTGCCATCAGTTATGTTCATTAAGTAAAGGCCATGAAGCTATTTAAATATACAACAATTTAAATTCATAGTAATGAATTCACAGATGATATCTGTAAATAAACACACAATTTACTTAAAGGGATAGTTCACCCAAAAATGAAAATGTGACGTTTATCTGCTTACCCCCAGGGCATCCAAGATGTAGGTGACTTTGTTTCTTCAGTAGAACACAAACAAAGATTTTTAACTCAAACCGTTGCAGTCTGTTCATTAAGTAAAGGCCATGAAGCTATTTAAATAACAATTTAAATTCATAGTAATAAATTCACAGATGATATCTGTAAATAAACACACAATTTACTTAAAGGGATAGTTCACCCAAAAATGAAAATGTGATGTTTATCTGCTTACCCCCAGGGCATCCAAGATGTAGGTGACTTTGTTTCTTCAGTAGAACACAAACGAAGATTTT